GGGTCATCCCCATTAATAAGAAAAGGTATGTTTTACTAATGAAATATTCACACATAGAAATATACGTAAAAGTTTTTGTCAAATAAGAAATTACATGCTCAATTTTGTTTCTTTGACCCTTCCTACAATATGCAATCAAGGCACAATCTCCTTGTCCCTTTGCTAATTAGCATTGTCTTGCAATTTTAAGTAGAAATCAAACCATAAAATGTTTTTATATACATATGCTTTTAACAACTTACACTAAAAACAGGACTAAATGATGCCAATAAAAATAGTTTAAAATTTGTTTTACAATAGATTTATTACGGTACATAAGTTATATTAAACCAATTTTTGTACTTGCACTGCTATTAATACAGTACTTACACAAGAGTACATTAAGTGCAATTATGATTGCAGTGCTCTCTGTCTATTAGGTTTGTGGCTATATGTAGTTATTTGTAAGAAAAGAAAACCAAGATTATAATTATATTTTTAATCACCATCTTACTTATTGTGGTATGTACACTTACTTACACTTCTAAATTACAGTAATAAACAAATCACATATCCTCAATGGAGTAAGGGGACAATTGAAGCACAATAAGGAACAGAAATAAACTGGAAGAGTTTTAATAGAATAGTTAACAAATATGTAAGCTGATAAATCAAAAAAAGTTGAAATCGGTTTACAAAGACTTTGTAAACCGATTTCAACTTTTTTCTATGGTTGGTTCAGGACATGGCGTTGAATTTTTGTTCAGGGTTAAAAGGAAGTGAAAAATCGTTTAATTTGAGATAGGGTGAGGATTTTGTTTAGGGTGCTCCATACCCTCACCTTGAGGCAGTGTCTCTGATAAATTGATACATATTGATTGATATTGAAAAGGCCACACCCCTTTCCCAAAAGCTTCCAAGTTGTGTCTAACAATTAGGGCTGAATATATCACCACACAAAGTTGAAATTGGTTTACAAAGTTTATTCTACAATGACAAATGTGGTGGGTTTCACTCTCCTAACAACAACTGGTAAATTAAATTATCAACTGTTCAAGTCTGATGCCTCATCTTCAGATTTTGAACTGCAGTTCTACGACATTTTATGATATTCAACGAATAACAGCCCATAAGTATGTACAAAAATTATATAGATAGTCAAAAGAAGTGCAGAAACCTCTCTAAAACAAGTTACTTGAATGTGAGATAACTCTTAAACCTACAAAAGGCTTTCTGTCTTTGAAAGCGCGATGAGTTGATTTACAATTTGGTTAAAATTCTTTTTTCAATACTTTGCCAGAAGTGTGAAACTACTTGAAGTGGTTCACTTCAATGGAAAAAAAAATTACTGAAAACATGACCAATGAAAAAACAATTGATAATCTATCAAGCAACCTGTAGTGTATACACTCATCTGCACCACTTAAAATCTCCAACGACACTTCAAGTGATCAAAACATACAGAAGCATGCAGAGATTTTAGGATCGAAAGTAACCAATCATCGAGTAAAAAAGTTTCAGTGTGAAAGTTATACGTTAAATAGTCAAGAAAAGGCCTGACTCTATGTAGACAATAATGTCAAGATCTTTCTAGCCACGCTTTCAAAGTTTGAATATGGCATCAAATATCTCGGAGAAAATAGCATCAACCCAAATAGTTTATTCCCGTAATAACCTAGCTCATTTTTTAGTAAAAAATTAAACTAAATGACATTTTTAACTATGAAAAAATTAGAACACAAACAAACAGCAGTTTATCTATATACTAATTAGGGTGTCCCTGATCCTACATATTCCTATGACAGAGATAACTGTCAGTGGCTTTATGACAGTCACATCACAGCTGTTCCAGTTGTGTTAGCTACAAAGGAAATGCTTTAAATATTATTTTCTGGTCTTTTCCATTTTTACTGGATCTAGGTTAAGCTTGTTCCCAATTCCTCTTCCATTGCATCCATCTAATCTTTGTAGTAAAAAGCAGTGCTGCACAAGATGTACTGCAAATTTTTTTGTGGATGCAGACTGCAGCCACATTGAAAGGAGCATGTCCTCTCTTGTGTGTTCCCCTGATGGCATGTATGTAGTAGACGCATCCAAAGATGTAGTGGATGGTGGAGCTGGTTGTTGAATCTCATGGGTTTTTACAAAGGGGCTAGCTGATTCTGTGGGACCACAAATGGCTGTAATTAGGGTGTCAAACCATTCCATCATTTCTTCCTGTTGCTATGCAGTACACTGGTGCCATGAGATGATTTATGATTGGCTTTAGGCTTTATGGCATGGAGTGCTACATAAATGGACTACACTTATTTTTGGTGGCAGTGGTGTCTTTGACAAAGGTGCTGAAGATGGTGCCCTAGGTGGTGTTGAAGGCACTGGAGACAATGGTGATAGTGTCAATTGTGGAAATGATATTGGTGGTGTTGGTGTCGGTTAAAGTAGCGGCAAAACAGGTTTTAGAGGAGCATAATGAGAAAGACTTTATTCACCTGAGGCCAAGGGTCCCCTTCCATTAAGGGCCTTAGGGTCATCCCCATTAATAAGAAAGGTATGTTGTACTAATGAAGTATACACACATGCAAATATACGTAAAAATTATTGTCAAATAAGAGATTACATGCTCAATTTTGTTTCTCTGACCCTTCCTACAATATGCAATCAAGGCACAACCTCCTTGTTCCTTTGCTTATTAGCATTGTCTTGCAATTTTAAGTAGAAATCAAACTACAAATTTTTTTTTATCTACATATGCTTTTAACAACTTACACTACCAAAAAATACTAAATGATGCCATTAAAAATAGTTTAAAATTTGGTATACAATAGATTTATTACGGTACATAAGTTATATTAAACCTACTTTTGTACTTGCACTACTATTAATACATTACTTACATCAGATTTCATAAAGTGCAATTATGATTGCAATGCTCTCTGTCTATTAGGTTTGTGGCTATTTGTATTTATTTGTAAGAAAAGAAAACTGATAGTAATTATATTTTTAGTCACCATCTTACTTATTGGTACGTACACTCACTTACACTTCTAAATTACAGTAATAAACAAATCACATATCCTCAATGGAGTAAGGGGGCAATTGAAGCACAATAAGGAACAGAAATAAACTGGAAGAGTTTTAATTGAACAGTCAACAAATATTTAAGCTGATAAATCAAAAAAAGTTGAAATCGGTTTACAAAGTTTATTGCACAATGACAAATTTGGGAGGTTTGGCTCTATTAACAATACCTGGTAAGTTAAAATATTACCTGGTCAAGTCTGATGCCTCATACTGGAATTCTACAACATTTGATGATATCAAATAAATAACAGCCCATAAGTATGTACAAAAATTATATTGATAGTCAAAAGAAGTGCAGAAACCTCTCTAAAACAAACTGTTTGAATGTGATATAAATCTTACACCAATAACCTACAAAAAGGCATTCTATCTTTGAAAGGGTGACAATTTGATTTTGAATTTCGTTATAATTATTTTTTCGATATTTTGCTAGAAGTGTGAAACTACTTGAACTGGTTAGCTTCAATCGGAAAAAAAAATTACTGAAAACACAACCACTGAAAACAATAAAAACCTGATAATCTATCCAGCAACCTGTAGTATATACACTCATCTGCTCGGCGTAAAGCAAAATAAGGAACGGAAAAAAACTGGGAGAGTTTTAATAGAATAGTTAACAAATATGTAAGCTGATAAATCAAAAATGTCAAATTTGGCACAATTGCTACACAGATCAAAAGCATTCTTTCTAACATAAGGAAAGTTACATTTTGATTATAAAAATAACTGGGAATGAAAGTGCTAAAAAAGTGAGAGGTCTTAAGTGTTATGTTTTCTTTTAGCTGCAACAAGTGGAAATTTTTGTGAGGTTTCCTTGCCTCCTCCTCCCATTCCCTTTGCCTGTGGGATTCATTTTTTTTACTCCCATTTCTTTTCTGTTATTTGATTTTTGTGTATACTGAGATCCACTGATTTCATAAATCTTGCCTTTGAAAAGGTTGATAGGTATTCTTAAAGGGGCCAAGAACGTACCTATGAAAATATGCTACATTAATTTCATGTCACTTGATATTCTATGGTTGGTTCAAGACATGGTGTTGAATTTTTGTTCAGGGTTAAAAGGAAGTGAAAATCGTTTAATTTGAGATAGGGTAAGGATTTTGTTTAGGGTGCTTCATACCTTGAGGCAGTGTCTCTGATAAATTGATACATTTTGATTGATATTGAAAAGGCCACACCCCTTTCCCAAGGCTTCCAAGTTGTGTCAAACAATTAGGGCTGAATATATCACCACACAAAGTTGAAATTGGTTTACAAAGTTTATTCTACAATGACATATTTGGTGGGTTTCCCTCTATTAACAATGACTGGTAAATTAAAAAAAATAACTGTCAAAGTCTGATGCCTCATCTTCAGATTTTGAACTGCAATTCTTCAACATTTATGATATTAAACGAATAACAGCCCATAAGTATGTACAAAAATTATATTGATAGTCAAAAGAAGTGCAGAAATCTCTCTAAAACAAGTTATTTGAATGTGAGATAACTCCTAAACCTACAAAAGGCCCTCTGTCTTTGAAAGCGCAATGAGATGATTTACAATTTGGTTTTAGTTCTTTTTTTGATGTTTTGCCAGAAGTGTGAAACTACTTGAATTGGTTCGCTTCAATGGAAAAAAAACTACTGAAAACATGACCAATGAAAAAGGAAAAACCTGATAATCTATCAAGCAACCTGTAGTGTATACATTCATATGCTCCACTTAAAATCTCCAACGACACTTCAAGCGATCAAAACATACAAAAGCATGCAGAGAATTTAGGATCGAAAGTAACCAATCATTGAATAAAAAAGATTCATTGCCGCTTCTGTTGCTTGTTCTTGTACACCTGCTGCCAGTTTTCTTTGGCGGTATTTACGGACTCTTTCCCTTGTTTGTTGCCTTTTTTTTCTCTCTTTTTTCCTGCAGCTCTGCTCATGCCTTTTCTCTTTGCTTTTTCACCCTCTCTTTCTGCTCTGTTTTCTTGCTATCTGCCCTTGTTTGTACTGGCCGCTTTGACAACTCTCAGATTGCTTGCCTTCGCTCTGCGGCCTGAGCAATTTTCTTTACACTTTTAACTTTTCACTCTCATGAAGCTACCAACAGGTAAAATGATAAAAAGGTAAAAAATATACTAGGTGTGAAGTACAAGGTAAAAATTGAAAAGCTGTAGTGCAAACAGCTGAAAGCTCGTATTTTTAAAAGTTTTAGCCAGAGATCGTTTTTTAAATTTCATAAGATGTTTTATCCTGGCTGCGGCCCCTCTATCTTTTCACAGGAAATAAAAATATTGAAAACCTGGAAAGAGTTCTTCTATGGGTCATACAACCATAAGTCAAGTGCTTCTACAGCACATAATAATTGCTCTTTTACACTAAAAAATTTCTCAAAGATCTTCTTCTTCCTCTTTGATATGGCCTCCTTCTCCATTCTTTTGGCCACTGGGGCCATCACGACTTTCATCACCATAAACATAGTTTTGCAGTGTGTGATACCTTTCAAAACAAGGCACATGGCACAATCTAACACCACAAATAGCACAGCTGTATATTGTCTTCACTTTCTGCAAATGTACTTTGCAAGTTGACCGTGTATCATTGATCACAGGGTAATGGAAATGATCCCGATTGAACCTTACGTCAGGGATTGCAACGAGAGCCTGCATGAATCCTGTGTCCTTTTGAAAGCACTTGCCTTGAACTAGTGCACTGACCGGCTCCTCTCAGAACTTTAGAGCTCTTTTATTGCAATGATTCGGAGATTTCGTTTGGAGAAGGTGTGCATTTGATACACACCTCTAAATGTAAAAAACACATTTTGTAATACCAGACTGCTCCCTTCGTTAGTCTGGCATATGCAACAGTTCTTTGGTAAGACACATCTACACCGCCCAGAAAGGTGTTATAGAGGCCAGTTAGACCTGGTTGAGGGAATTCTTTCACTGCCTTTTCTTTCAAGCCACAAATCTCTCTTGGCAAGTCTACCCTGTTGGACCTAACTGTACCACAGGCAAGGGTTTTCCTTTCGTCCAACTCTTCAAACAATGCTACAGAGGTATAGTAATTGTCCATAAGGCACAGAATCCTTTCTCTAGCTAAGGTTGTATCACAGACATAAATGCCTTCCTTCCTAAATCTCTCTGAACTTCATTATTTTCTTTGCCGATATAAATCTTGCTGTTTAAGACATGACCACTACTTGATTTGGCAAGAGTGAAAGCCTTTATTCCAAATCTGCCTGGTTTTATAGGAATAAACTGCCTAAAGGGAATTTTGCCTTTGAACTTGATTAAAGTCTCATCTATGGCAGGTTGCCGCTCAGGTGTGTACACTCTCTGAAACCTGGCTATAACTAAATCTAGGAAAAGCTGAATTTTGTACAGCTTGTTGTAATCTGCAGAGTCATGCAGGGGAGCACAGCTGTTGTCAGCAAAGTGGAGGTAGCGTAAGATGGGAAGAAATGAGTACTTAGAACAGGATCAGTACTCCAGTACTCCACAAATCAGTTTGACAAACTAATAAGACCCATACCTCTTGTGTGAAAAAGAGATAAAAAAATTCCAAGCACGATTTCAGGTTTCTTGCATTGACATTTATTCCTGTTTCTTCTCGAAAGTCAATATCTACTCTTTGCCTTCTACATTCTTTTTTTTTTTTTTTTTTTTTTGCTCAGAATGTCTCGGTTTTTTCTTGGTATCTGGGCCATAGAATTCTTTTTATTTCAGTGCATTTCCTCTGTATCCTGCCATTCTTTCAGCACCTTTGTTCCTTAAACTCCTTTTTTTGTCTAACCATAAAGGTAAATACTTTAAAACCTAATAAGTGTAGAGGAAACTGGGTATAAAGAGTGCTTTTGGTGCAAGTGTCATGAGACAAACTGTCAATCAATTTAGGAGACCCAAAAAAGGTCAATGATAACTCTAGGTAATCCAGGAAAACAATTTCAAGCACTCAAAAGCATGAGTATCAATGTTGCGTTTGTGACAAACTCTGGTATATAATTCCTAATAGCTTCTTGAATGGTCAAGTAGAGTAAGTACTACCAAATTTGACACTACCCACCCACCTTTGGGTGTATGCATTCCTTAAATCATTCAAGAAAGCCTCCAAGAGCAATGAAATTTATTTCAATTCCCTTGCATCACTTTTAAGCAACGCTGTGGGTGGTTGGTGTATGAATATTTTAGAGACAGTTGTTGCTGATAGAATATTTCTATTTTAACTATGTGTAACGATAGGTTTGACATGGAAATTAGCCCGTGACAAATTACATGTTGCACTTTGTTCAGTGCGTAGTAAAAATTACAAACTTGGCAGCTTAAATTACGTCTCGTATACTTTTCTACGTAACACATGAAAATTTTCCTAAATGTCATGAAAAGGTCAAATAAAATCTTTGAGATTTGTATCTAATAACTTCTCTGTCTACAAAAGCATCTTGTTTCCTATATTGTTGTGTCCTCATCTTTCTGCACTTTAAGCTGAAATTTCTCATGGTAACCTGCACCCAACGTCTATTTTTTGATCAATTTTCTTCCATCCCACCCCTTTCGTGATGGAAGGTGAACTGCTCTTTTGTAGTTGTTTCCCATATCACATGGTGCAGGCATTAATTTTTATTCTGGTGGAGGCATTCCTCACATCCTGTCAAAAAGAACATTTAATATGCCAAATACAGGTAGCCCAACCTTTACGGCCACTGGAGGCAAAAGATACTAGATTGGTTGGTGAAGCGACAAAAAAGCTTTCTAGAATACGTACAATGTTGATATACTCACAATTCTGTAAGGCGTTATCCTGCTTAAGACGCGATATTTTCCAGTCCTTGCACAAAGGCAGAAAACACACTTTTCGAATGAAGCACAGTCCTTTCAACCTGATCTCAGATTCCCTACTGCTGCCTTCTTAATCTAACTCACGTATATGAACTAATCTTGACAGCTCATGATATCTTAGGTAAAAAAAAAATTGCTTTATCTTAAATAAACAAAAAATGCTTGATTAAAAAACACCTGTCAGCAAAGTGCAAAACAGCATCATCTTGCCGACTGAGTGAGCTTTAATTTTTCTTTCCTCTTTTTCCATTTTGTCCTTGGCTTTCCCCATCTATGAGGTTGTACAGAATCAGTTCACCCAGTTTTCCTCCTGCCTCTTCCGAAAACTGCAGCCAAGTTTCCACTGGGCAAATGATCAGGTGCTAAGACTGTTTGTGAGCTGTGAAACTAGTAACAGTATACTTATAAGTATCATGACATTGGCGTTAAGAATTTGTTCCAATTTTATGATTAAGGTGTCATTTGCGCAAAAAGAAAAAAAGGGAGAAAGAAGCTGAAGAAATACTTAAATGATAGGTTCATTATAAAGACTTATGTTTGGTGCATTCTTCCATGTTAGTTGATGAGTGTAACTGGGTAACGCTGGAGCTCTCAGCCAATCAAATGAGGGTAAGCCTTCCCTTCAAGACCTTAATGCTGTTTTCAACATTAAAAATTTTGATAGGTTTTTTTTTTAGTTGTCTTACAGTAATATTGCAATGCTGGGGCGAAAAAGATGCTTTAAACATTTTATTTACATTTATACGCATTATTTAGTGGAGCAAGAGGAGTGTTTAGGAAGCTAAACTTGAAATCTGATGGTCGTAGGTTGGAGCCCCCAACCATGGTAGACAAACTCATTGACTGCGCTCTGCATATTGTTTTAGGCTGGTACATAGACTTCCTTCCTGAAACTTTTTAATTAGGGATCTAATGAAGGGCAAAAGGTAACTAGTTTATCATTAGGTGTATCATTAGGTTCAGGGATGTTAAAGTTGTCATTGAAATGCAGAAATTTAAAGGTTGTCTTGATTCAGCATTTACCATCTGCTGCTGCCACCAACACTGTGCATCTTTTCCCAGTAGGACAGAACCTTTCCTGTTTAGACAGATTTTGTTGTTTGACTCTGGTTGACTACGGCTGTAATGGTCTGCTTCATTGTGTAAATGGCTAATCCAACTTCTCTTTTCAGTTGGATATGACTTTTAGAATATTTGATGCATTGCCAGGTCATAACGTTAATAATTATTTAGGTTTGTCATCAGTAAAGTTTTCCTTTCGTCATTGCTCATAACATAACAGCTTGTAAATATGATAAATAGTTCAAAAGTAACAAAATTGGAGAATCGCTTCTTAATTTTTGTTCACCAGAAATTCTGAAAATCATGACATTTGAAACTAACATTGTTGAACTCAAAAAGTTTCTATGTGCAAATGAAATTCGGTCAGAAATGTTGAAATACACTTTGAAAATATCTTGGTCTCTCATTACTGCCAAGAAATGCGTTCAGTGTGCTATTTTTTTCCCAGCAAATTCCTGCCTGTTTGTTGAGACACAGAGGAGTGTGGTTGCAGGTCACAGACACAATAAGTGACTTGTATCGGAAGTTCTTTCTGAGGTTTTCAATTGAAGCCTTTCCTTCTTCCAAGCTTTCCTTGACTGTTTGATAACAGAAAAGTTTTTGATCAGAAAGATCAACCTCTCCAGATATTTTCAAATCAAATTGTTATTCCCCTGGTTTGTTTCCTTTGCCCTATATATTCTTTGTTTCTTTTTTGCTCAGAATGTCTCTGTTTTTCTTGGTATCTGTGTTCTAGAATTCTCTTTATTTCAGCACATCCCTTTTGTAACCTGCAATTCTTTCAACAGCTTTGTTCCTTAAACTCCTTTTTTGTCAAATGGGAAAGATAAATAATATAAAACTTAATAAGCACAGAGGTTATTGAGTATAAAGAGTGCTTTTGGTGCAAGTGTCATGGGACAAACAGTCAATCAATGAAGGAGACCCAAAAAGAGTCAATGATAACTCTAAGTAATCCAGGAAAACAATTTCAAGCACCTGGAAACATAAGTTTCAAAGTTGTGTTTGTGACAAACTCTGATATACAATTCCCAATAGCTTCTTGAATGGTCAAGCAGAGTAATTACTTCCAAATTTGACACTTCCCACCCTCCTTTGGGTGTATGTGTTCCTCAAGTCATTCAAGAAAGCCCTCAAGAGCAATGAAATTTATTTCAAGTCGCTTGCCTTACTTTTAATCCATACTGTGGAAGGCTGGTTTATTGATATTCAATATATTTTGTGTATCAAAAATTAGAAACTTCTCTTGGCAGCTTAAATTACCTTTTTTATATTTTTCTTAATAACACTCATGAAAATTCTCTTAAATGTTACCAAAAAAGGCCCAATAAAAATCTTTGAGATTTGTACCTAATAACTTCTCTGTCTACAAAAGCATGTTGGTTTTTGCATTTTTGTGTCCTCATCTTCTTTCTATGTTTTTTGGCTTAAACTTTTTTTGGTAACCTGAGCTCCACATCTATATTTTGATCAATTTTCTGCCATCCCACCTGTTGGATGAACTTACATATGGAAGGTGAACTGCTCCTTTGGAGTCATTTCCCATATCACATGATGCAGGCATTCACTATTATTCTGGTCATGGCAAAAAATACTTTCCCATAATTGACCAAATACAGGTTGCACAACTTTTACGACTACTGGATTGGTGCATGGTTTGTCTTTTGGCCAGATCCCTGTTGTTACTGCACCAAGATTCCTTTTCCCGAGAGCAGTCTGATGAGTGCTTGAATGTTTCAGAATGGTATGGGTTGCCCTGGACATTGCAGCAGTTTTAACTTAGTTTTCACGGATAGCTATTCCACAGAAATTCTGAAATGCATCAATGCTATCTTGTGTTTGTCTACCAACCACTCCTAAAACTGTATTATTAAACATATTAAACAATATGCCAATAAATTCATCAGGCAGTTATGACAG